TTGTTTCCTAGACTGCAGATTCAACTGCCATAAGCGCTGTGCTTCAAAGGTACCAAGAGACTGTTTAGGTGAGGTGGACTTCAATGGAGGTAAGTTCTACATCATCTTCCAAACGGACAGTTGTTTATTTCTCATATTTAATTCTAATAAAAGTTCTTGTGCAGAGCCAGCGAGCCCCGGGCCGGACTCAGACACTACCATGGATACAATGGAGGTAGACAGCAATTACATGGATTGTGGCAGAGGGATGGATGATCCAGATGAACCATCCACTCCGGATGAGAGGATGTTTGAAATGGACTCGCCGTTGCTGGACAGGGAGAAGGATGAAGAGCCCATCAAGACTATTAGGTATGAACATACTGGTTAATCCAGCTGTAGGCCAAAACTACAGTTTGATGTTCCATGGAGACTAAGAGGCACCAGTGACACCAGAGACAAGGACGACTGCTCAACTCTTTCCTTCATAAACACGACATCTGGCGACCTCACCTGTACGCTGACCTGAGTTCATGTCAGTAAAGTTGCTGTTTGGGGACCGTTAGGATAGTTTGTGGGTTTTTTCAAGGGATAGAAATCAGCCTCACTAACTTCTTTGTTCTCGAGGCAGTCCTTACATAAAACAGACACCGTTCAGTTCAGAAAAGAGCTTCAAGGATTATTCCTAGAAGACAAGTCAGACACGGGATTGGCCAATCAGGTGGCTAATCTACCAGCTGATGTGGGATGAATGTCAGAGTTCATGCAAACTACACAGTCCTGGTTTCTGTTGTTATTTTTGTATTTTTGTTCTACTCTACTGTAATCAAACAGTTGAAAAAAGGGATCAGAAACAAGAAGAGGAGGGGAAGACATTCAAGGTTGTCTTCTCTGATCCAAACTGGGGAATTTGGGGTTATTTTTTAACTACTAGGTCTAACGCTCCAACTCCTCTGTTTATTCTCCAGCAGCAGCAGCCTGATGTTTCCAACAGTGTTACGTAAAACTTAGGGATGTCTCAGGAAGTACCTGCTGTGCTCTGAATAGTGTTTCGCTAATGAAATCATAACTCTAAGAGAGTTACGGTTATTGTGATAATCATCGCTAAATAAAAAAACCTCCTTTTATGTTTGCAGCCCCTCCACTAGCACCAACATCCCTCTGATGCGGGTGGTCCAGTCCATCAAACACACCAAGAGGCGGAGCTCCACGGTGGTGAAGGAGGGCTGGATGGTTCATTACACGAGCAGGGACAACCTGGTAAGACTGATAACCCCAAAGCCCAACAGAGGAGCTTAGCCTGAAACGGCTCTGCCCTAAATGTATGCTGGGGAAACTGTTCACATGTGCTGAAGTCAGCACACAAGGTATTTTCCTTGTGAAGTAAAATTTTGAACTTCCGTAATATCGGTAGGTGGTCCATATTTTGCCGCTAGGACTAACTCGGGGTTTCCATTTAACAGCGGAAGAGGCATTACTGGAGGCTGGACAGCAAAAGCCTGAGTCTCTTCCAGAACGACACCGGAGCCAAGTTCTACAAAGTAAGATTAAAACTATTATTTGTGCCGTGTTCTTGGAAAACCACGGCTTCGGCTCGATCGTGCGACGAACTATTATTCATAAGAATATCAGAAAAGCAGCGTCCAGTCTGTGCAGAGCTATATCATGAAAATCCCCACAGTGCTTAGACAGAATCCACCCGCTCGACTGTCTTATGATTCAAACGTGTCATTTAGGAAAGATCTGTTTTCATATTCAGGTATAAAGGCTGTCTGTCATGCTTATGAGTGATATGTAAATAAAATCTACCCAGCGGCAGCCGCGTGACTCAGCTGAAGGCTGCCGCTTCACGACTGTAAACTACCCTGAGGTCACTTCGTCCCACTGAAAATCCCCCTGTGGTTTTTCACAACGCCGCCTGGTCTCATCGCTGCGTGAAGCGAAAGGGTCGCCGTCTCGGAGTTTCTGCGTTTCATCATCCTCAGTATCACTAACGGACATTTAAATGGGGTTTTGAAGAAAATGTCAGCATTCAGACGGCGTCTGTCACACAAAAGAGTTTTGATGAGCTCTTATTTTAGGGAAGGGAAAACATTTCTAAAAAGTCACGCTGGGATCTGTTGATTCTTTTTCTGATCCTCAGTGTTTGCTTTGAGTGAAATGTGACGGTTTAAACGTGTAAATGGAGTTGAGGAGAATATGTGTGACACTTCCCTCTCGGTGGCAGCGCCGTAGTCAGTCATTACGCCGCCGCAGGGGCTTAATAGCACAGTAATTACACAGTGAGGCCTGGGGGAGGGAAGTACAGGCTGCAAGGTAAAGACTTCCACATGTGTGTCGTGTGTAGGATGGAGTGTGTAATTATCTTATTGTTGTTCTCGCTTTGTGCGTTTTGAGACTTTAACACCTCTTCGAATTGTGGTCAGAGGTATGTTGCAACAGGGGCAGAGTTTCCACTTCGGTTGAGTCTCAAACAGGTGGTCTCGCTCACAGCTCTGCTTATTGTCCCGCCTTCTTTTTGTTGTTTCTCCGTCCACGTTTGTTGTGAAGCAAGTTTTGGAAAAACTGTATTCCTTCCTCCTCCTCTCCCAATTATTCTGTCACACCCTGCGTCCCCGGCCACTAAATCCTCGGAGAGGAAGCCTCAGCGGGGACGACTCCTCGGGTGTGTTTACAGGGCAGCTTTATGTGGTTCTTTATTATCAACTTGGCACTCAGCTATGTTTAAAAGCTTCAGGAGGCTAATTGAAGGCTTGCTGTAAATCTAAGCTCCAACGTTTGGTCTTCGCCTCTTGCTTCAGAGCAGAGGATTTTTATCTGGGACAGATAACGTGAAATTATTTCCTGTAGTATTTTGGGGGGAGGGGGTCTTCTACCGAAACCACCGCTTCTCCATGAGCTCCGCTGGTATCCGGAAAGCCGTCTGCCTCCAGCTCTTTCCTTTCATTCCTCCCAGTTTCTAGCCTGCTGCTCATCAGTGTGTGGCCGCCGTCCTCCCCGCTCCTTTTCTTTATACCTCCAATCTGATTAGTGGCGGTCGCGTGGTGGCTCGCTCGCCAGGCATGGCAGCCATTTTCACCATTTGGAAGCCATAACAGCTACTCGTTTGAAGATGAGACCCCTGTACTTGTGGCTTTCTCTGAAGAAGCTTTCATGGGGTGAGGGGGCTTCTCCCTGTCACAGTATCGCACACGCCCACTCACAAACGACCCCGCGGGGGAACAGTAGTTGCTTCGTCTTTTGTCTCGGTGGCTCGTGGTAGCGCCAGCGCCTCGTGCTCAGACGGGGCCTCTCGCTGGCCCTGCCTTGTAATCAGGGAACCGCTCGAGCCACCGCAGAGCGCGCTCACGTGACCGGGCCCTGCTAACCACAAGCACTTCATCTGATACTGTGTGGTGAGCCACGCAGAGCAGACGGCGTGCGCCTCTTTGAGCCCCCATTGGTTGGAAGTTGTCTGTATTTGTAATTTCGGCCCTCCCACCTTTGATTTGACAGCGAGTTAGACGGGCGAGGGGGGGACTTTTAAAGTGTAGCGCGGCTCCGCTTTCTGTTTGTGCTCACAAGTCAGGCGAAGAGGAAGGCAGAAAGTTAGAGCGGGGACGACTGAGTGCGGCGTGTGTGAGTGTTACTTCCTCTGTCGTTACCTTTTGTGTATCATTGCTTAATTGTGGATTTGCTCATTTAGTAGCATCATATGTTCTTGATCTAAGAAAGTAGTTTTTCATATTCTTCTAGTTTACAGGAGATTTTATTTCTCCACCACTCCATCCCAGCTCTTTAGATGTGCAGCACTGTGTGGAGGGGAAGTGTATCTGTTTGTTTTGGTTCCTTCAGACGTTCATGTGCTTTTGGACTTGCATAAATTGTTTACTGGCTGAAACATTAAGAAAGACAGAAGCCCGAGCTTTCATTGAGAAATGCAGATTGTGCTCTTTTACGTTTCGTCTGCTTTTCTTATCAGTTCTCCTTCAACACTTCCACAGGAAATCCCTCTGTCTGAGATCCTCCAGGTGGAGCTGTGCAGAGACTACAGCAATCTGGCTCAGGGCAGCAACCCTCACTGCTTTGAGATCATCACAGCCACCATGGTCTACTATGTAGGGGAGAACAACGGCAGTCACTACCACAGCCCTGCTCTGGCCGCCTCTGGAGTCGGCACGGAGGTGGCTCAAGGCTGGGAGAAGGCCATCAGACAGGCCCTGATGCCCGTCACGCCTCAGCCCAGTGTAGCCAGTGCTGCCGGCCAAGGCAAAGATCACAGTAAGTAGAATTTATCCGGATGAAAAACTTGTTTGTTTTTTATCTTGTGTCTGTAGGAATGAAATCAGCGTGCATGTGTCTTTGGTTAGCAGGCTTGTTACCCGTCGCGGCCGTGACAAACGACAACTGTTTGCTCATATAGAAAGAATAAGGCTCTCTGTGCCCCATCGTAGGCGATTTTTAAACTACTTCGATGACCTTAAAGTTGATGTCCTCGGTTAACTTTTGCTAGCCTGGGAAAGCCCTGACTCAGGGTCTGTAGGCCAAAGGAAGTGGGGCTGTGAAGTCACTGTTTGGGGATGACAGTAGTGTAAGTAGTGAAGTGACATGACTGTATGGAAACTGAGCTTTTGATGGTCAGGGCAGCGATAATATCTCCCAGAGAGAAATGAGAAATGTGCAGTTTGAGATTAACTGATAACGAGCGTGACACGAGAAAACCCGAGAAAAGACGCTAGAAGCCGACCTAAAACTCACTACGTTCATTTACTAATGAACTAAGCCGCACTTTACTATCAGTAGATGAAACGTTTAATCTGCAGATGACAGCGTGATGGATGTGTTTGTCTCTGTTAATTGAAAAATCAAAGCATTGTCTGAGAGTGAAGTTCCCTCTTTGTGTCGAGCATTACCTCACAGAAAGTTTGCTGTTGGCTTTTATCTCCGGCTTTCTGCCCAATGCAGAATTAGTTTCTGCGGCTGTCTCAATCCCCAGTTTTGAAATGCATTGCATACTTTCAGCATTCAGTCACAGATAGCTTTCCAGATCAATTTTATAGCCAATTGTGTAATAAAATGCTTCATTATGTGGGGCTGTGAGTTATTGTGTGCAGCTGTGATAAGATTGCACGTTTTAGAAAAGTAGAAATACTGGTATCTGAGCAAGCTCTGCTTACAGTTGCTTAAGAATTTAGTGTCTGCTTTGTGCATTGGCAGAGTGATGTTGTGTTACTTGTTAAATGTGGAAATGTCATGTGTTTCCCTCTGCAGAAGAGCTGTCTATTAGCATATCTGTGTCCAACTGCCAGGTCCAGGAGAACGTGGTAAGTGGAGCTTCTTTTTTCTCTTAGATGCTGTTGCACAATTTCCCAGCACAGCTTGCAAATGTATGCATTCATACGCTATTAAAATAGTTGCTGTGGTTAGATCAGAAACGGTATCCTAGTGCGCCTGTCGCCGAAACATCCAGTGGAAGCTTTCACGCTGCAGAAATGGGGAAGCTGCAGACTCATTTTTTGGTTGCGGAGTTTTCGTCTCGGTTCCACTTCTGCATTTAGTGAAAGTTGCATATTTGGCAATACCTGAAAAACATTTTGGAAGGGCAGCAGTTTTGCCAAAAACCAAAGATGACGTGACTGTTTCGGCATGGAAAGTTAACTCGAATGTTTCCACGAGCGGAGGAAAATTAACGGTGTGAATTACGCCCGTGTAGGATATCGCCTCGGTGTACCAAATATTCTCCGATGAAGTGCTGGGATCGGGCCAGTTTGGCATCGTGTATGGAGGTATGTTTGCGCTTTAATTAAAAGGAACAGTTTATATTCAGCGTCTGTGCTGTGAACTGATGTTTTTTCTGTTCGGCAAACACAGGCAAACACAGAAAGAGCGGCAGAGATGTGGCCATCAAGGTTATTGACAAGATGAAATTTCCTACCAAGCAGGAGAGTCAGCTGCGGAATGAGGTCGCCATATTACAGGTAATCACTGATAACAGAGTGAAATCCGCTCATTACATTTGTCACAGGTTTGCATTTACTCTTAGCGTATTCCTCGTTTGATCTGTTTCTCTGTAGAATCTGCATCACCCGGGTATCGTTAACTTGGAGTGCATGTTTGAGACGCCCGAGCGGGTGTTTGTCGTCATGGAGAAGCTGCACGGCGACATGCTGGAGATGATCCTGTCGAGCGAGAAGAGCAAACTGCCCGAACGGATCACCAAGTTCCTCGTGACGCAGGTCTGCATCGCTGAAACGCGGCTCTCTGCCCTTTGCTGCACGTTTCGTCCTCTTAGTGCTGCGTCGTCCTCCCCTTCTCTCTCTGTGCCCTATTTTGGGGGTGTAATGGGTCTGCGCTCCAGCTCTGGGGCCTGTTTATTCTTGTGGTGAGCTGATTGGAGGGGATTGTTTACGGGATTTGGTCTGCGTGGCATCACGGCCTCCTCCCTGGCTGTGGATTATAGCCTTCAGTATACTGGTGGCTCTGTGGCCTGATTAGAGGAGCAGCAGGCTCCGTGGATCTCGGGTACCAAACGGGAGCGGGGCCATTAACAACAACCCCATTAGCTGCGGCAGGCTCGGCTCAGATGTGGCCGGGGGGGCCTCTGTTAAAGCCGGGGTCAGGATCGGCGAGCCAGGCCCTCTGTGGTCTGTGGGGCCACGGGCAGACGTGCGTGCAGCGCTCACTTACAATAGGCCTTGTGAATATAGATGAGATGAGATCACGTGTCCCTTATATGGCAGTGCTGGTAAAGATGCAAGTATTTAAGGGCATTAGTGTGTTTATATTGCTATTTTTCCACATGGCAGCACCACAGAGTCTCCTCCATACATCACACAAACAGCGCACGCTTTACAGACTTTACAGTTTTGATCTTTTTAGCTGAATCTGTGCTTATGGGACTCGTGTGTTTGCAACAGATCCTTGTGGCCTTGAGACATCTGCACTTCAAAAACATTGTTCACTGTGACTTGAAGCCCGAGAACGTACTGCTGGCCTCTGCAGAGCCTTTCCCTCAGGTGAGAGCATATATATTTATGTGTTTTGCACGCATCATGCATGTGTACGTTAACCACGCCGCTTTTCTTCTCCAGGTGAAGCTGTGCGATTTCGGCTTCGCCCGTATCATCGGGGAGAAGTCCTTCCGGCGGTCGGTGGTAGGAACGCCGGCTTACCTCGCGCCAGAAGTGCTGCGCAGCAAAGGCTACAACCGCTCCTTAGACATGTGGTCGGTGGGAGTGATCGTGTACGTCAGCTTGAGCGGCACGTTCCCGTTCAACGAGGACGAGGACATTAACGATCAGATCCAGAACGCGGCCTTCATGTACCCTCCCACGCCCTGGAAGGACATCTCTGCAGAGGGTACGAAGACAAAGAGCTACTTGTTTGTTTGCTTTCAGAAATGTTTGATCTGATCTGACCTTCTCGTCTGTGAGCCGTTGGCGGCCTGCTGCACCTGTAACATAAATGATATTCACACATGTAGCTCCTCCCCACCCACACGTCTGGGTCATCTGAACTTTAGATCAGCTTTTTGATGTCTGTGGTTGAAATGAATCACTTTCAAATCTCCCCAACTGCCCAAGCTGCACCTCCTCCCACTCACTGTATGTAGAATATTACGCGGTAAAATTGATAGATATATCTTTTTGCAGGTCTTTTTCCCTTTAACTCAAAACCACCTCTGACTTATCTTGTTCACTTACACTTCTTGTACTCTTGATTCCTCCGCAGCCACAGATCTGATCAACAATCTCCTCCAAGTCAAAATGAGAAAGAGGTACAGCGTGGACAAGTGTCTGAGCCATCCCTGGTTACAGGTATGACACATTTGCCTTTTCCTCTCTTTAAATTGCAATTCGAGCTCATTCTCAGAGTCATAATTCTGTCAAGTCATCAATTCCCTTCATCGAAAATAATCTACAGATGAGTTGTGTGAACATTAATAGTCAGAACATGGAAAACATGAATAGAGTTAAAGGTTCCGCCCACTCGTGGTTGTGTCACCATTAAACTTCCTGGTGGTGAAGTAGAAGTCAAACAACCACAACAGCGCTGTCCCTGCACATCAGTACACTGTGTCAATAACAGCGTTTAGCTTACGTGGCCAAGACTTGGAGCGGGAAAAGTAAAGGGAGTGAAAACTGCCAGCCAGATTGACTGACAGGACTTTTGTTGTGTTTTGGTCAGGACTACCAGACGTGGTTGGACCTGAGGGAGTTTGAGACGCGGCGAGGCGAGCGCTACATCACCCACGAGAGCGACGACGCGCGCTGGGAGGAGTACGCGGACGAGCACAGTCTTGTTTACCCGAAACATTTTATCATGGCTCCCAACCTGGACGACATGGAGGAGGACCCCTAGTGGAGCGGGAGACTCGCTGCACCCACATGTATCTCACAGAGTTTTCACGAAGCTTTGAAAGTCGCAGGTTTTCCCTCCAGAACTCTCGAAACAGAGATAAGCCGGTCGGGTGGAGAGGCTGGAAAAGTGGGAAAACCCAGCAGAGGTTGTAGTGCGAAGCACCGCTACACGCAGGCGGAGATGCGTGTCACAGAAACGCATTAAGACGCTGACACGGGAGGCGAGTGCTCCCGCTTCCTTTGTGTATAATAATACGAAAACATTCCATGAATTTGTTCGATCTTGGTTCATTTTTTAAGGACTAGCAGAACAATGTTTATGAACACAGTTCTGGATGGAGGCCGTGCTCGTGATGTAAGAGGAGTGGCGTGAAGCGCGCACGCCGGGATTAAAGGGCACTTTTTGCAAGGGATTTACAGCCTGAGAATAAACACACGAGTTTGTTCTCATTTCTAAACTGTTTGTGAGACTGTCCTGTGGCATGAAACTGGAACTATCACGCAGATTTCTCTGGGTTTTTTAATGTATTTTAGTAATCGTGGTAGGTTTTTGCACTATATTACCAATTTCCATAGCAACTGAATAGAAAACACTATTCACTGCTACAGAGCGCAAACTGTTTTTACATTTCCCGCCAATATTCAAAGTAACGGTGTCACGCAGTATTAGCTCCTTTGTCTCAGATCCCAGCAGGTGTTTTTAACCTACGTGTGTTCAGAGTGTGATCTGTTCACGGCAGCTAGTAGCGTGCGAGTTTTATCGGCTCGCTCTCGGAGAGAGAAACCAACGAACCCTGACCAAATATGTCACAACGTTTCCTTTCAACTGTTTTCCTTGTTTGACTTTGTGAATCTTTTGTGAAGGCCGTAACCCTGAAGTGTAGTCGAATGCAATACAACAAGGAGCGGACTCTTTTTGTTCGGCGTCGCATTTTTGTACTTTCGCTGTTTTCTTGAATGTGACCGTTGAAGCGCTCCGGTGATGGGACGTGTTCTTTGATGTTCTCCGGGGTTGCGGTCGAATAGTCAAAAAAATGTCCTATGTTCTTGTTTCTCTAAGAAAACATCACAAGGTGAAGGAAAGGTGAGAGTTCACAGAGAACCTGGTGCATCCATGCTAGGCTGTGTAGCACTCAACGATGAATAATATTGATTAAGATCAAGTTCACCCTTTGCTTTTATGCTGGCTGTATAAACATCCATCCATCCGCCCACTGGCTGCTCTAAAGAGAGCCCAGACCTCTCTGTCACCAGCAAGCTCCTGTAAGGGCTGAGACATGCCAAAGCCAGCTCAGAGATACATTTCCCCCAGTGTGCCCCAAACACCTCTTCTAGTAGGCACCAAGAAAACATCTTAGTTAGAAGCACAAACCACCCCAACTAGCTCCTGAATGACCAAACTCCTCACCCATCTCAGGGAGAGCACAGCCTCCCTTTGGAGGAAGCTCATTTCTGCCATTTGTTCAATTCAATTCAATTCAATTTTATTTATATAGC